GTCCAATAGCAGTCTCTCGTCCAATCACTCCTTCTCCATTATCAATGTTCTGACCTCCAGTCTTGGTCCAAAAGGTAAGCTGTCTCGTACAACGTCAACGCCTAAGCCTCAGTTTCAACTCTCCTCTCCTCTACTCTACCTTCAGTCCCATAGCTAATTGGTTGTTTTTTTCCTTGTTTCTTCCCCCTAAAATATGACAGTGTCGGTACGAGTTCAGTCAGACTCTCCTGTTGAAAATTCTACTATGCAAATCAAACCTCAAAGTAAAATAGTCCCCGTGGGGGATACCCCAGAATGGAAAAAGAGGCTTCTCCTTGGCGAAGCTCTAGTGGGTGAAGGTGGTGATCTATTTGGCCCTATGGAATTGGAGAACGTGTTTAAACCTCCCCCGCCAACCGCGAAACCAACAACCCAAACGAATATCTTGACCTCCATCCAGGCTAAGCAACCAGCGTCCGTTCCCTTGATCTCTTCAAGAGAGGGGATACCGGACAATTCGCCAAATGGTATTGATGGTACCCAGAAGGGAAAGCCTGCAGGCGGTGATCAGGACAATATGGAAAGATACAATACTTCAATGGATAAAGCAAAATGTTCGTTTGGTTATATTCAAGGTAGTGGAAGTCTCGGTTTTGACCCCCGATCGCGGACTTTGAGTGGCAGAGAAGAACTTCGCAACGAGGAAATTACTCCCATTCTATTCTCCAAGGATGAAACAGCCAGGGAACATACCAATCGCACATTTCTAGAGTCGATTCTTGACCGAGGGAAAAGTTCCGTGGTAACAGGAAAAGAAGGTCTTTATTCCCGCAGGAGGGATTCCGTGGTTAGCGATGATTATAGTTACCTTAGCCATAGAGGGGAACAGACCTTTTCCAACGGAACCGAGCAAACCGTCGAAATGACCAGCCAATCGTTGCCCGAAGATTTATCTGTTGGAACAACGGATTTCGTTTCAACTGGCGGTTTTATCAGAATGCGTCGTGGTGATTACTCCAACGAAGGATCCTTTCGCCACCACCAACTAACGCCAACATCTCTACTTTCAACTCTCCATTCTTCCTCCTTCCTATCTAGCTCAAAGCTTAGAAACTCGCCACACGTCGACAGACGAAAGGGAATATTTACCCCCCAACAGCAACAAGAACAACAACATCAAAACCAGCAATCTCCTTCCAAATTCCTTACACCGTACCGGGAACGACGTGAAACAAATGACTCCAGGCCAAGATCCTCCGGCAGCCCCCTTGAAGCTGTTCGGGGAGTACGATACATTTACCAATAACAAACTGCTACGGAGAATGAGCCAGTTCGAAGAAACGTATAATAACGGGCCAGAGGATGTGCAGTCATC